TGTGTGTGTGTGTGTGTGTGTGTGTGTAAAATATGTTTATATTTTTGTACAGTTTTGGCTTCGGCTTCAAATGTGTTGCTCCCTCAGCAGTTGGCCTTTTTTCAGTCTGTATATTTCATTTAACAATTTATCGGTTACTAAATTAGATGACAATTATTTTAATAATTGATTAATCACAATTAATTGTTCCAGCCCTAATTTACAATCTGGTGTAGCTTATAAAAATGATAATTTCATTTGGTTATAACTTTTATATTTTGCTTCTAGGAAGCCCAAAGTTGATAAGACAAAGCCTAACAAGGACAGCGAGCAGGAGGCCGCTCCCAAGACGATGAAAGGTTTCCTGCCAGAAACAAAAAAACGTAAAAAGCGCAACAAGCCTGTTTTGGAGCCAGCAGGGGACAAATCGGCCCCAGTCACCAAGCCAGGGGAGCAGAAAGGAATGACCAAAAAGAAACAAGACAAGAAGACTAAACAGAAACGACCGGCTGATGGTTCTGCTGCTTCACAGACCAACCCGGCCAAGAAGAGCAAAACGCAACCTGACAGGAAATCTGGCAAAAAGAAGAAACCCAAGCAGAAGAAGGGAGGAGAGCAAATGTAATGTGGACTATTTAAATTGAAACAGAAAATAACATTTTAAACAAAAGCTTTTTTTTTTCCTTTATTGCTACACATCAGGTCTAACTTGTATGCTTACTCCAATATATACAAAATGAAAAGTGGAGATTTGTAGGGAGTGTAGTGAAAGATTATTTTTTTCTAACATGTGACTGCTGTTGATATAAAAAAAATGACTGAAACAATAAAAATCTACTTCTCTGCCTTTAAATCCACCAGTTTCTCATAATTTCAGCTTTATTATGCAGCATGATATTCTATTCAGCATTAAATTAAATTCTCATTTCTGGCATTGTGCTGCTCAGGGTGGCAGCCCGTTGGAGTAGCTCTGTATTTTCACTAAGATTTTTTTCTTTTTTCAAGCTTTTGTTTCTGCCTTCCTGAGGGAAATATTTCTTTATTTTGGACAATCATTCTTTCTTGTTTTGGATGCTATTTAGTTGAACTGATTTTTGCCAATACTTTTCATACTTTGCTCTTTTTTTATATTTAATTTGTCTTTGGAATCAAAAGTTACATGCTGCAGAATGTAACTTTTACAAAAAAACATGTTCATTACATATTTGTTAAAATTGTGAATAATAAAGTTCATTTAAAAAGAGACAATGTAGGCACTGTACAAGCTAATCCTCATCTAGAGTCCCTTGATTATATTGACAGTAAGATAGATAATCTGTGTAAAAACATTAGCTCCTCTGCCTTCTTCTAGTGCTTCCAGTATTGACTGCAGAAATACAAAACTCAGTCAGAAACAAGCAGTCAGAGCCAGGAGGAGGGTCTTAGCGCTGTCAATCACTCTTGTGCTCACCCCTCCCACTTGCTCTCTGCTACAGCTGGTTTACCACAACTTAGCCTGCCACAAATGCTAAGACTAGTTAGCATAGCCACTGATGATGGCGGATAAATGTTTTCCTGGAACGGTCAGTGTTTCTCTGCCACTACCACATTCAGCAGCATTGATTTACAGCACTAAGACACGCCTTCTGGCTATGATTGGTTGTTTTTAACTGAGAGCGATGCATTTTTTAGGGGAAGGGCAGAGGTAGAGGAGTTTGACCTTTTCACAGATTGTCTCATACCATAATGTCATGAAATGGTGATAGTTTTCACAAATATGGTAAAAACATGTTTGTGTAAAAGTTTCCTGCTGCAGATTTAATGAGAAAAAAGCCAAACGAACAAGCTTTGCATCATCTTTCTAAAGCTGTCCAGCCTGGACAGTCACATGCATCCATCCTCACTTGTACGGCTCTAAGGTAGAAAGCAGTTGTAGTGGTGTGAATGCTAATGCGCCCTGAGCCTCATTAATGAATCTCATGATTCATCTTCTTTGTAGCAGCAGGCGTTTTTTCTCCTCCTCCACTGACTTTTGAGTCGGATAGCAGAAGTGGTCAATAGAAAAGAGCATAACATAATGAGTCATTAAAAGTAGCAGGTAACGTCATTTAATTACAGTGAACTGCTACAATTTAACTGCAAACTATTTAAAATGAAAATCACTCATATATGGCATTTTCAGAGCATGCAAAGCTTTGAACACAGAAACGCCTCCTACTGATGGATCCTGTTGTACATCTCATATCAGTGGGAAAATTAGATTTTTCAAGTTTTCCCTCCTACAAAGAATGGAGAGACAGAGTCTCACAGAAAAATCAGTTGTAACCAGTCAAGAATTAATGTCTAACCTCTATCATCAATTAATAAAATATTTTTTTGATTCTCACAGTTGAGATGTAACTATAATGAAAATTAAATTGTGAGAATCTTGAAAAATCACTGTATCAAATACTTCTTTTCCCCTCTGTCCAGGAGACAAGTAAAACCTGAGTGAATACAAAACTCTTGAATGACTTTTGTTTTTGTCTTAAAGCTCTGGGTACCCCTGTTGCTTTTGCACCTTTACCTATGACACTTTTTCCTTCCACTCAACTCTCCCTAAACATTACTTTCCTTCATGTCATTGGCAGCCTGCACAAAAAGGACCGTCTTGTATGACTGTCAAGTCAGCAGTTCACCCCATGATTGTGTGAGCCATAATATTTATTAATTAACAATGTTTTTTTACTGGTTAAATTTCCTGAGAAACAGAATTCTATGTCTTTCATTAGTGGTGAGCCTTTATCATCAAAATTAAACATTTGAAATAGATCACTGTGTGTGTAATGAAACTATTTAAATTTCATTTTTTTGAATTCTGTTACTGAAATAAATAAACTTTTTGATAATTTTCTAGCTGTTTAATAAATTGATAGAATAAATTATTATAGATCCGGTGAGACTGTTTTTTATCAACTTTTTTATTATAAAATAAAATTATAATTTTATTTGATAAAAGGGTACATAAATCCCAAGGAGAAAAAAAAAACAAGTTCCAACACCCATCAACCCTCAGAGTGAATTTTTATGTTTCCATTAATAATAGACTTCTTATTTTTCATTAAAGTATGTATTTTGTAAGAGGATTGTGCTCCAAGTTCAGTGTTTTGGGTTGAAATTGAATACCTGAGTGTGTCACCTTTCTGGTCTGTATGCTCAGACTGAAACAACTGTAACTGCATTACATAACACTCTAAGCAGGAAAAATATCCCTGGCCTTTGTGCTGGATTGGATGTTGCAAAGCCTTTGTGCAATAAACAAAGGTAAGCAATCACACAGAACTCTAATTCTGCTGTCAAGAAAATGATGCAGTGTCTCCCCAAATGGATTACTATACAGGACATGAAGTTGCTCAGCCATAAATCCACAGGAGTGTTAGCGGGCAGTCGCCTCATCCATCAGTAATCTCATCTTAAAGCTCCTCTCTGCACTGCAGGCCCCAAGGAGGAGGCTAACAATGGCAGTCAGTGTGTATTTGTGCTGGTTGTTTGTTTCCAGTTGCACTGCTGTAACTTAAGCGCCCCCTGACTAGGATATGCACAAAGACCACTGCAGGGTGGAAAATAATAAATCAATTCACATCATAGGTTTGTAAGGAAGCTAAAAGAGACAATTCCCCCCACCCTCCCACAACGTTGGAGACGAAGCAGCAGAGTTAAATCCATATTTTAATCAAGAACCAATTACATGTCCTCTTGGATTTAAAAGAGTGGCAAAAATTCACAATTATCTGCCAGTTTTGTTTGATTTCACCCTTTTTGCTCTGGTATTTTGGTCTGTATTTATTGTTTTTTCAATCTTGAGGCACTTCTTAACCCTTTCCTTTTGATTTCTGCCAATCAAAAGGAGTGAACGTCTCTGCAAATTAAATGCAAAGTCTTTATGTGTAATGATTAGAAAAACTGCAAAAACCCAAGAGCTCCATCTCAAACTCAGTTCAATTCCAATTCATTTAACACAAAACTTAATTTATCCCAAAAGTAAATTAAATGTATCATAGGTCATCATCCAAGCAAGTTGCTATTCTCAATGTGGATGGTGATGCTGTGGCAAAAAAGGATTTCTGATAGCTATCAGTCTTGCAACACATCTGAAGAAGCCTCTGACTGAAGACTAAAACTAAAATCAAAATCCAGGCAAAAATTAAGTGAAGTTTTAGTGATTTTAAACATGTCATACATTGAAATTCCTCCACAGCTGATGGGTAAACTCATTTATTAGGCAAATGCAATATTTATATTAAAAACAAATCTTTTTTAAATTAATTTTAGATATTTCAAGGCCTTTATTATAGATAGATGAATTAAAAAAAAATTTCAGGATGTGCAGACACGTTTTAATATATTTTCCACTTAGAATCAGGTTGATTTGGATAACGTAGTTAAGTGGTCATTTTAATGCTCTTTGCCAGGTTATCTTTGTCTAATATTAACATTAGTTTGATGACCTGAAACACCTGAGGGTGACAGAAAAGCAAAACCAAAACAAATTTGTGTAACGGGTTTTTTGAACGGCCTCTTTAACTCAGGCTACCCCTTCTTTTGCTTACAGCTGAGGTTTTTTTTATTTATTTATTTTTTTGGTACTGTACCCTTGAAGTCCCAGCTTGAAGCTACAGTAATGAAGCATATAAAGTGGGTCTCCTGATGACAAATTGTTCTCCTCGAACCCTGACAGCAGGGGTGAGAATGAGAGCAGTGCTGTGCTCTCCTCCTGACAGTGAACTGACACTATTCATTGCTGTGAGCAGAGATACGGAGCACCAAACCAATCTGCTAATGCAGCTCAGCCGAAAAATCGCAGCCACTTGCAAACTCCAAGTGGGGCGGAGGGAGTGGAGGGGCCCAGCGCCTCATCAGTATGAGAAAGACGCAGCTGAACACCAGTCTGATTCATCCCCTCACCTTGAAAAATGTTTTCATCTTCATGGATTCATGGCGTAAAGCACAGACTGTGAATTTTTCCAATCCATGACGCAGCCGACTGTGAAGTATTTATTATTGCAGAGCCATTTTTTTTATCTTCTTCTTCTTCTTCTTCATCTGTGCTTCTCTTATTAAAGTGTCCCCTTTGGAGTCTCTCGCTCCTCAGCAGATATGTTGGCAGGTTGCACACAGAATGTTAGTTTAATGACTCCTTCAAGATGGAATCCTATTAATTAGCACTCTCAGTGATTTATTTATCAGGCCTTGAGGGAGCAAGCAGCTCTGAGCTCCACCACCGCTTGAAGGAAGTCCAAATGAATGCGCTAATTACAGCAATGATTGTCACACCTCACCTTTTACAGATTGTAGCTCATTTCTAGAAATGCTGGATATCTTTAGAAAATCTCCTGTTGTGTCATTTCTTTCTGAAAGCTTTCATTTTTATGCTTGCATCATATTGGAGTAGCTTTTTTTTTGGCTCCTTCTGCTTTGCTCATATTTTGTACTTTCTGGCAATTGTTATAAGGCATAACCGTGGCAACAAAGTATTGTTTTTACAACTGGAAGGAGCTGATTATCATCTCAAAATCTTAAAAGATGCTTGAACTATGACCCCAAATTCCATAGAAGTTGAAAAGGAGGCTTAACCTGTTGTTCACAGGTTGTCATTCACAATGACAGGGGTGTCAAACTCCAGTCCTCAAGGGCCGCTGTCCTGCAGTTTTTAGATGTGCCACAGGTAAAAAGCAGTGGAATGAAATGGCTTAATTACCTCCTCCCTGTGTAGATCGGTTCTCCTGAGCCTTGCTAATGACCTAATTATTCTTTTCAGGTGTGGTGCAGCAGAGGCACATCTAAAAGTTGCAGGACAGCGGCCCTTGAGGACTGGAGTTTGACACCTCTGTCACGAGAG